CACTGTTGGGGCTGGAGAGATGGCTCAATAGTTAAGAGCACTAGCCAGCTGCTCTTGCAGAGGACCTGGGTTCAGTTCCCAACTCCCACATGACAGCTAACAGTCATCTGTAACTCCAGTTCCAGGGTATCTGATACCCTCTTCTGACCTCCATGGGCATTTCAGGACACAGGTGTTTTTATATGCATGCAGGCCTATACACTCATACACATAAAATAAAAATAATAAAATATTAAAAAAAATTTTTTTTCTAATTTGGTTTTGTGTGTGCGCGCGTGCGCGTGTTTAAAATTTCGTGTTGAATTTTAAACATGCCAGTGAAAGAGTTCTGCCTACAGACCTCAGAAGAGGGCATTGAATCCTGTGGAGCTGAATAGCAGGCAGCTGTGAATTACCTGATGTGGGAACTGAACCTAGGTTCTGTGCACAAGCAGCAAGTACTCTTAACTGCTGAGCCATCTCTCTAGCCCTCCCCTTGGTTTTGCTTATGTATAATGGTAGATGGCTGCCTCTCTATATCTAAAGTACACATCTATTATTGCTCATTGACTCCCTCCCCCTCCCCGCTTCAGCACTAACATTTTGGCCATTACACCAATATTTTCCCCAGTAACTTAAAATTTAAATATGTTCAGTTTGTTTTTCTCCCCAACATCTGTTTTCCCTAGAAATTGCCTAATTAAAATTTATGAAATATTCATACAAATATGGATTTTGTATACATAAGCATACAAAATAATATGTATGGTGTTTGTGTTAGTAACAGAGCTTCCCCATCCTCCTTCATCCCCTTAACAAGATCTCAGTATGAAACCCAGCTGGCATGGTACTCCCAGTCTTCCTGTTTGGACCTGCAGAGTGTGAAGGGCTGCAGTTGTGCACCATTACACCTGGCCTCACATCCATTTTTGAAATGTATTTCAGATATGTCAGGGAATCACTGGTTGATTGTCCTCTGTAAGTAATATAAAATTCGTGTGTCTTAGTCCATTTTGTATTGCTATAGCAAAATACGTAAGTCTGGATAATTTATAGATATTTTATTTAGCTACGAGAGGCCAAGTTGAAGGTGTGGTGGGTCCTTCAGGTTGAGGCTCTTCTGGTTGCATCATGACATGACAAATGGCATCATGTGGTAGGAAAAAATGTGAAAGAGCTCCATGGCAAGAAAAGAAGAGAAGCTAGACTGTGCTGTCTCAGAACAACCCACTCTCACAGATACTAATCCAGCATTACCCTCCTCAAGAGGGAGGACCACTGTAACCTTCTACTAGGTTCATCCTTTTAAAGGTCTTACAGTTAGATGGTTCAGAAAGCTCATGTTAGGTATGATGGCACACACATATAATCCCAACACTTGGGAAGCTGAGGGAGGAAGGCTGGGAGTTTGAGACCAGCCTTGGGATGCATAGAATGTTCCTGACCAGCCTGTTTAATTAAACATCAACTCCTCCCATCCCCCCACTCCCACCCCATCTAAAACAAAAACAAACTAGAATGTTTAGAAATATTTTGACTTCCATTTGGTAAAGATAGTATGTAGAGAAGTGGTGATAAGCCAGTACACAATACAAAAATTACTTTGACAGTGCTGCTCTATAAAGCCCCACTTGGTCATGCCCGAATCTCTCTCCACTCATATATTCTATGTGCGGCTTTGTTGCAGCTCTTCTCAACAGCTGATCCCATGGGTACTTTGCTACAAGTTCCAGAACAGATTTCTGCTCATCTACCTCAACCAGCTGGGCAGATGCCTACACAGCCAACTCAAGTCTCTCTCCCACCTCCCGCAGAGCCAGCAAAAACAACCCAGGTAAAGTGAGGATACGCTTTCCTGGTTGTCTGTTGGGTAGATGAGAAGAACATGCTGATGTAGCCTGTATTGATGTTTTATTTGGGACAAGTTAAAAATTTCATGTTGAATTTTAAACATGCCAGTAAAAGAGTTCTGTAAGGAGCACATGAGTTTTGCACCACAAAATAACAATGCAAACATTCCAAATACAAAATAATTTTTACTAATTTGTCAGCTCTTCATTAGCTATTAACTAGGTATAGTTGATAGATTTTGAGACCAAGAGACTCATCTGTTCACTTTCATTTTGCTCACTTACACTTGTTTATTAATACTTCTTTTAGGCCCTATTTTTTCAGAATTATTCTGTTTAAGATATTTTGCAATTTTGTGAGAGTTGATTTTAAGATTAGGAACTATTTAATCACGCACACACAAACTTCATTAAATTGTAGATGGTGAAAGTGTCTAGTGCATGGAGGCCTCACTGTGAACCCCTTCATGCTGTGTAACTCTAGAAACTCTAGAGCTCCACTCTAGAAACCTCTGATACTGCTTATAATATCTGACTTTATGCTACTTCATGGAAATAAGAGTTTTAGTGTCAGTTCATTTTATTAACTATTAGAAAACTTTTTCTAGCATGTTAGGTAAAAAATGAAATGAAGTTCTTTTCCTTTTGTACCCAGTGTGTCACCATCTTGTTATCTGTCTTTGGCGATGACCACTCTGGGTGCTCCATTTAGTTTTAGTGGTGACTCTATTTGATCGTTCATCCCTTAAGCTTTCTATTTCTGTTCATTATATGGAAAAAAGTACAGGTGCCTTAGAAAGACTGATGGAAAGGTTGGATTTATCTTCCAAATAGAATATATGTCTTCTAGTTAGGGAATGATGGCTCTACAGTTTCCAGAGATTATCTTTAGCCTGGATAAAAGACCTTGGGTCAAATGGAAT